CTTTAAATACTGCATCAAATTATTTTGAAATTTTCACAAAAATGTCAAGTAGGGTGGTTTCAGCTTTAAAAATATGCTATGGAATAAAACACTGTGACATGGATATCTAGGCACATTAAAAAAAAATGTTTGGCACCTAGAGAGGATCATATTCACTAAAATCTTAATGGCCGCCAAAACGAGTTTGTCCACCTCTATTCCAGTACATATTTACGAATTTAGCTTAGGCAGAAGATGCAAAATGTGTAGCACTTAGTGAGGATGGAACTCACTAAAGTCTTAATGGTGGGAAAAACGAGTTTATCCAGCTCTATTCCATTGCGAGCAGCACATATTCCCCAAATTTAGCTTAGGCAGGAAGAAGTGTGTGTTTTTGCAGGGTGGGGAGAGATAGACGTAAATAAAGAAAGAAGTAAGTTACAAACAGTTAAGCATCCAACATGTTTATAACTTTACACATACTGTCAACTAAAAAGGGCTGTCTGTGGTCACTACAGACGATACATGGACCACAACAGGACCGTCATCAAAGGTCATATCTTTCTCAGTTGGCTGCTGGTAGAGCCATTTGGGGATATGTCTGCACAGACACTGTTCGCAAATGGAAAGTTGGTCCAACAAGATGGAGGAACGCCGTTGATGACGTCATGCATAGAATCCTTACTTTATTGACATTCAAGGTTTTTTTCAGATGCCCTATTTGTGGAAAAATGTGCCGTTCTCGTCTTCGGCGAGTCAGTTACATGATAAGCCATCCACCATGAAAGGAAGCGATCGACTTTGTATGAAAATACGTTTTAAAACGACTATACAAATAAAATATGTATATTTTATCAGTACTATTATATTACTTTCCCACCTAGTCGCCTGTATGTATTATCAACACCGTGTTTGCCAGGTCGCCGCTAAGTGGCGCTGTTTCAGGATTATAAAAGGAAGGAACGATAAACCCACTCTTTTTTTGCTCAAAGATGTAGCAGCGACAAAATGCCGTCTCGCCATCTCCGAGGAAATTTCTTTCTCCGGGCAGCCGACTGCTAAATTTCAACCCAGCCACGTGATGTATGAGCGAAGAAATACCTTCCATAAAGAAAGTGGATTCAACCACAGCGTCAAAACAAATGATAATCTGAAGGAACATTGTCGGGACGATGTAGTGGACGCGATAAAGCATCTCAACTATAGAGCTGGTACCTCTGTTTTGTCCGGCAGGCAATGTGTAGTGTGACACTTTTGCACAAACGTCCTGATCTCTTTCGTCGAACAACGTCCATCGATTTATCCAGCGTTATACCATACATACACGAAGTATGAATTCTACGAGTAGCACAAATGTTCCATCACATAATACGCTTGTCATCAATTTCTTCGTTGTTTACCGAACTTTTCTAGATTGGAATCCATCCTGGCACCTTCAGATATTATGGTGGCTCTGATGCATCTTTTATAAAATTAGAAAATTTTCACATCCATTAAAAAATGGACTCAGTCGGAAATCTGAGTTATGGCCATTGTTCAGTATTCAAACAACTGTTTTTCATTTCCAGCTTATTTTGGGAGCAAGAAATGATTGGTTGGTTACTTTGTTAGTTTGTTTAACGGCATATCAACTCCTTTATGGGTCATTTAATGTCGAAATTTCATTTTCTTGGGAGCTTTGAAGTAATAAAAATATGATATATGTTATTCTGCTTTCACACTTGAATACATGGTAGATAATACTCAGCTTGTTTATATACATATGTTTGTGTGGACATAATTACTATAGGCGGTGGTGAGTGTTTTGTGTTTTAGTTTTGTTGAAGTTATATTTTGGAATACAGTTTAATTTAAGAAATTGTACCATATAAGGATTAATCTCATGAAAGAGTTCTTTCATGTTGGAATTTCTATTATATCATGTTGGTATTTCTGTTATGAATAGTGTTGTTGGTAATTTCTTTATATAAAAGTATATTGCTGGTATTTCTACTATAAAATGTATTTTTATACGTTCATAGTTTTTTTTTTTTTTTTTTTTTTGAGGTTCCCTATTTGCTCATAGCTGTGACCCTAAAAGTGATACTACCCTGGGTCAGGATGGTCTTGAGAACAACAGTAATTAAGGGGCTGTTCTACGCTCCTCAAAATCTTCCTGTTCAGAGGCCGTGCTGCCGGATGTAGCTTATCGTCATGCATAGGATGAATCAGGAAATGAAATGATAATTTTTCTGCATTAAAATGCATGTTTCGCATGTTACAAATGCGATGTAGCTTGAAGCTGAGATGGGAAGTTCTTCCACATACAGTGTATTTCGTAAATGTGTCACTTTCAAGTTATCGCTTCTTTTGAATCACTCATTACTCTCTCTCTCTCTCTCTTTCTCGTCAGTAGTTCTAGAAACTTGAAGATATAAAAAATTATTAAAAGTTCAAACCTGAACTGGAATATTTTGTTTATTTAGGGAGTATCATTTCAGTGCAACATTCAACATTCAACTCTTTCATTTAACACGAATAGACTGAGTTTTTGAAAAGTCATACTTAGCTATCTCAGAAATCAACTAAATTTTCCATTCCTTGTACTACCTATCTTGCGAGATGAGGATAAGGCACCTACTAAAATTTTTTAAAAAAATCCATTTTTTTTGTTTCCTATCTATCTGTACTCCACTGAGATTCGTCTTAGGTATGACGATAAACTACATCTGGCAGCAAGGCCTCTGATCACGAGGTTTTGATGAGCGTGGAACAACACTTAATTGCTGTTGTGCCTAGGTCCACTCTCATCCGGGGTGGTATCACCTGTTAGGGGCCCAGCTATGGACAAATAGTTAACCCCCAAAGTGGGGCCAAGTCACTATGAAAGTATAAAAATAAATGTTTATAGTAAAAATACCAGCAATATATTTTCATAGTAAAAATATTTACCTGCAAAACAGTTTTTGAAAAAAACATCAATACATTTTTGTAAATAAGCAAAAATATTACCAGCAATACAACTTTGTAAAAGAAATTATTAATGCTCCCAAGAAAATCAAATTTCGGCATTAAATGACCCATAAAGTGTTGATATGCCGCTAAACAAACAAACAAAATCATTAAGGCAAACAAAAATAAATAAAATGAAAAAAAAAAAAACAAAGATAAAACAAAATTGGGAAAATACACTTGCAATACAACATTCAGCATTCGACTCTTTCGATTAACTCGACAAGAAAAAACTGGAGGCCATAAAATGTGATTCTACAGAAGGATGCTGAGAATTCCATGGACGGAGCGCGTAACCAATAAAGTAGTGTTAAGGAAAACAGAAACAAATAGTACACTTATACTCAGAAGCAGAAAGAGTCAGCTAAAATTTCTTGGGCATAAAATGAGGAGCCGATGCTCGGAGAATTTGACACTCAAAGGAAATTTTGAGGAAGAGAGAGGAAAGTGAGGGAAGCGGACCACCTAGGTGAAATGTTTGTGCGAATGGATGGCGGAATGGGGCAGACGTTTTGACAAAGCGACAGACGTTGTTAACGGCTACAATGGATTTAGTGGTTGTAGAGAGCCATGATCGCCCAATAAATGATACCTTGAAAAAAAAAAAGAAAGAAGTCACCAGAGAAATAGACAAAAATAACAGCCATTAAGATACCGACGTCAATTTAATAAGTTACAGAATGCCTCAGACTTTTCAGCAAGAAAAACCGATCGAGAATAGAAATAGAATGCAATATCAGCCGGAGAACACGTTTTCTTTGTTACGTTTTCTCGAATGTGCAAGCCGGTAGACGTAATACACAATTTAAAGACAGGCCGTTCTACTCAAACATTGGTATCCACTAAAAATAACATTTGAAGTAATATACATTAATTAATGAAAGCTTGAAAAAAAGAAACCGGGTCTAATCCGCCAACGAAAAAGACAAAAAAAAAATAAGAACCATGAAGGGACCTACGTCAATTTAATAGGATACAAAATGCCTCATAATTTTCAGCAAGAAAAATGACCGAGAATAGAGTTGGAATACAATCCAAAAACATCACACACACACACTCTCTCTGTCTCTGTCTCTCTCTCTCTATATATATATATATAGGAGAGAGACCAACAGTTTGGTTTCACTATTTGGATTTTGTAGAATCGCCTAAAAATTGAATATTGCGTGCCTTTTTCAAAACTAATTTACTCACTCACCTTAGGCCAGATGGACTTTCTCTTCCTAAAGGATTTGATTCTACATACAATAATAATAATAACAATAATACCAAAATTAACCCATTATTGTATAAAGTTTCTTTTAAATTTTAGTTTTCTTTGCCTAATCTACCTTGTTGGCAAATGCTAATATTAGGGTTGGCGGATTTAAAATTTTAGTTAAGCCCTCGCCAAACGATTGGATGCCATGCGCTAATGGGTTACCTAGTTTCAGCATTCTAGCTTAGTAGGAGTTAATTAAACTTAAGAAGGTATAATAATTATTACTAATTATTAAATCCAGAGAGCAGTGCCAAACTGTTGGTCTTTGATCACATTATTACATATACACTTTAGGCCAAAGGAATGGAGGCCAAAGGAATGGAGGCCATCTTCTGGATTTCAAAGAATCTCCTAAATATTGAAGGTTGAATGCTTTTTTCAAAACTAATTTACTAGCTCACTTCAAGTCAAAGGGATTTTCTCTTCCTGAACAAATTTATCAGATATTCAATAATAATAATAATAATAATAATAATTAACCCATTTAAACTACATCTGGCAGCAAGGCCTCTGATCGGGAGGTTTTGGTGAGTATGGAAAGAAATTTTCGGAAGATTGATTGATTCGTGTTCTACGGTTTATCAGCACTTGGCGATTGGTAATTTTAGAGGCTGGTGCATTTTAGATTTTAGGTAATCCATTCTCTAAAACAATTGGATGCCATGCACTAATAGGTTAACTAGTTTCAGTATCCTAGCTTAGTAGGAGTTAATTGAACCAAAGAAGGTATGAAACTTAATAATTATTAAATCAAGTGAGGAGCGCAAACTTTTGGCCTATAGTGTATATAAGGAGAGAGAGAGTGTGTGTGAGAGAGAGAGAGAGAGAGAGAGAGAGAGAGAGAGAGAGAGAGAGACAGAGAGAGAGTGTATGTTCGCGTGCCTGTGCATGTGCTATATGACCAGACGGAGATAGGTAAAAAGAGTAAAAAGAAAGAAAGGAAGCTGAAAGCAACAGCGTTGAATAGAAAGGTATCAACTCTAATAAACTATGTGTATATAATAAATAAACAGGAATTACGAAGAGTTACAATCACCCGCTGCTCCTTTAAAATTCACATCTTTGTTAGATAATATTCACTCACTCACATTTCATGTGTCAATTATTCTTAATAGACTGTCGACGCCTACGCGATCGTTTTTGCGCGGGGGTAAGCGTGTCTCTATGTTTATTTAATATCATCCCCTTTGCTTAGTTACAGGAAAGTCGCTTGCTTGTTTTTCTTTTTTAACTAACAAAGAGTCATTTATAAACTCCAGACAGAGTTAACAGTTCATTCAATAGAACCATTATTTAAAAAAAAAAAAAAATACATTCCCATGTGATTGGTTAACCAGAAGTTTCTATTATGAACTATTAAAAGTATATTAATATATATATATATATGTGTGTGTGTGTGTGTGTGTGTGTGTGTGTGTGTGTGTGTAGTTTTTAAAAATATGTTATGCTTTATATATATATATATATATATATATATATATATATATATAAAGCATAACATATTTTTAAAAATATATATGTTATGCTTTATATACATATATTTTTAAAAAAATACACATTGCAACCAAAAACGCTTGCGGTTTCTCACTTCTTTTTAATATATATATATATATATATATATATATTTGTGTTCTACGGCTTATCAACACTTGGCAGGTTATTTAAGATCTGTTTTTTGAGATAATAATGGTTTAGTGATACTAATCAACACAGCTGGGGGGAGAAGAGGGGGATCGAGAATAGAAATAGAACGCAATATCAGCCGGAGAACACGTTTTCTTTGTTAGGTTTTCTCGAATGTGCAGGCCGGTAGACGTAATACAAGAAAAAACGTCAAACTGGGTTTTATCCACCAGAGAAATAGACAAAAATAACAGCCATTAAGACACCAACGTCAAATTAATAAGTTACAGAATGCCCCAGAATTTTCAGTAAGAAAACCGATCGAGAATAGAGGTGGAATCCAATCCAAAAGCATCACACACACACGCACACATACACACACAATCTGTCTCTGTCTCTCTGTCTCTCTCTCTCTCTCTCTCTATATATATATATATATATATATATATATATATAGAGAGAGAGAGAGAGAGAGAGAGAGACCAAGAGTTTGGGTTCACCATTTGGATTTTGTAGAATCGCCTGAAAATTGAATATTGCGTGCCTTTTTCAAAACTAATTTACTAACTCACCTCGGGGCAGATGGAATTTCTCTTCCTAAAGGATTTGGCTATATATGCAATAATAATAATAATAATAGCAACATTAACCCTTTTCTGTATAAAGTTTCATTAAAATTTTAGCTCTCTTTGCCTAATCTACCTTGTTGGCAAATGCTAATCTTAGGTGGATTTAAAATTTTAGGTAAGCCCTCTCTAAAAGATTGGACGCCATGCATTTATAGGTGAAATAATTTCAGCGTCTTAGTAGGCGTTAATTAAACTTAAGAAGGTATGATAGTTACTAATTATTAAATCTAGAGGCCAGTGCCAAAGTGTTGGTCTTTGATCACATTATTACATATACACTTTCACAAGGGTAATTGCGCTAAAGTGACTATAACTGACCCAACAGAAATTGGAACTCTGCACTCCGATTAACAATTCCGAGCCATTATCCATTACACCACTACGCACATCCAAGCTTACAGCATCTGGTAGTCCTGAGCAGTTACTCATCTAGGTACTGGCCAGTCCCGCCGGTGCTTAAATTAGGTGATCATATGGGAACCAAAGTTTCAATGTACTGTGTCCGTAAGCCAATATTCGAAAGAAACAGTAGTGATAAGGGTCGAGAGGCCAACGTGGACATAGACCAGAAAAAGGTTATTTGAAGAAGGAAACTGTTGGGTTATTAATGCAAACTCTGATGCCAGGAATGTCCTCGCCTTTTACGGCACATTGGAGTCATATGTATTATAAATTTAGCTTTTGCTATATTAAGCTATTCACTTTCAATATAGGCGGCAAAGCTTCTCAAGGCGTCAATAATCGTTCAGAGGTGTTATGTTGGATGGCATTAAGATAATGAACCAGGATTGGGTTAAATCACTGTTTATATACGCATTTGTTTATCTTTTTGTCTATATGCGAGGGTAAGTCAAAAAATTATTTGCACTTTCGCCATAACGTAACTTTAGGTGTGTCACACCTCCTTCTGCTCATGCGTTCTTATCGTTGATACTATTGTGTTCAGGTGATCGAAGTTTGGGCTTGATTGCGCTAGTTTTCTTGCTGCTGTGTGCACCAATGAGGAACAAAGATTTATTGCGCAATAAAAATCATATCAATGATCAATGAGGGATAAAAATTTATTATGTAATAAAAATCATATCAAAGAAGACATTACCATTATAGATATATAAACTGCTGTAGCATAACTATGGAAAATAATGGGTATGTCCCCATTCACATAAATACAGTAGTAAATACTGTATGTTGGTCTGCAGTTGGAAATTTGTCTCCAGCTGTGCTGGTCAAACTCTCTGCTTCCGGGCAGAGAGGATCACCAGACGAGGCTATGTCGAAGGGCAGAGTCTCGTCTCGGGAAACAGGTACCTGACCCCGTTTTATACGAGGTTTACGGGTAATTTTTGGCCGAGCCTACGGGCTCGGATACCCCACATCTTGTGCCACACCTAATTGCGTGGGGCGGTTGGTAGATATCCTGCATTTGGAGATTCATTGTGAAATTCACTTGACTCACTTCTAGCAGTTGACTATTTCTTCTACGCGCCGCTGGCGAATCTTATATGTGTTGTTCTTGTCCTAAGTATTATCGTTCATTACCAACCTTCGTGTGATTATTCTATTCAATAACCTTCCCTAGGTTACAACATAATCTCATGTGTATGTATTTTTTTCACCTTGATGTAGTATTCAGTATTTTATTCTTAGCATAAAACATATCAAAAAAATCATGCACATCTACTGATATCAAATAAATAGTAAATCTGATCAGTTCAATAAGGTTAAATAGGCAGCTGATCTCAAAAATGATCTACAGTCTGTTGTTTACTGGGACAAGGAATGGCTTGTTAATTTTGACGCCTCCAAAACGAAACATCTCTCTACTAATCAGCTGAACGATCCCTTCCTACCTCCGATCAGCATGGCTGAGACTAACCTCCAGGAGAGTGACACGTTGCACCTCCTCGGGCTAACATTCTCGGCTGACATAAAGTGGAAAGATTATATTGAATCTATTGCTAGATCAGCTGATAAGAAAGTTGGTTAACTGTGTCGTGCTAGACAATTTTTCTCTCCTGAATCTATCTTACATATTTATAAGTCTACCATTTGTCCATACTTTAAACAAGCAAATAAAGGATCGATAAGTAGAATCATAATATGATAATAATGAACTTTTTTTTTTTACTAATCCGGTATGTTGTCAAAAAAAAAAGTTTATTCTATTTTTACCTAAGAAACCGAACGAATTTTTTAGCCATCATATTACGCAATATAAATGTCGAAAATTAAAAACCAAAATTATCTTTTATTTTACTTAATAAAGCGAATAAATTTTTTACGTTACCCAATAGAAAATCATAGCAATATTTTCTTTGCGCTATCATAATTGGTTAACGTTAAATTTTATGAGAACTCTGTTCATAATATTTAATTTCTATTAATGATATTTCACTTAGTAATGCCAACCGTTCCAGAAATGGGGATGTTAAAGGTAATATGAGGCGTTTCCCAGCAAGGAAACATTTGGTATTTACTGACCTTGCAGCCAGTACTGTTTTCGACTGAAATTTATCTTCCTCTTAAAACATTTTTTCAGGAAAATATGTTCATCAAGTTCACTTGCTGTTATTACTCTTTCCAGTATTGATGGGGTTTAGCCGTTTCCTTACAAGGAAATGTTTGTCATTCATTGACCGAGCAGCCAGTACTGTTTTCGACGGAAATTTATCTTTCTCTTAAAACAATTTTTCAGGAAAATATGTTCATCAAGTCCAGTTGCTGTTATTACTCTTTCCAGTATTGATGGGTGGTTAGCCGTTTCCTTACAAGGAAATATTTGTAATTCATTGATCGAGCAGCCAGTACTGTTTTCGACTGAAATTTATCTTTCTCTTAAAACAATTTTTCAGGAAAATATGTTCATCAAGTCCAGTTGCTGTTATTACTCTTTCCAGTATTGATGGGTGGTTAGCCGTTTCCTTACAAGGAAATATTTTTCATTTATTGACCGAGCAGCCAGTACTTCTTTCGGTTGAAATTTATAAAATCATTCCTTAAAACATTTTTTAAGAAAACAGCTTTCTCAAGTCCACTAGCTGTTATCGCTCTTTCCATTATTGATGGGGTTTCCTTCCTAACCTTTTATTTGAACTGGTGTGGAATGTTAACATTTTAATTATGCCATTATTTTCTCTTCGAGCTATCAATTTTAGTTGTTGCTGCTGTTGGTAGTCCTCAAGTGCAAAATCTTGAAAGAAGCATTACCCTTGCCAAGAGACCCAGGCTTCACTCGCTCAGAGGCTTTTTTCACCCTTGATCTTAGGAAGCGGCTGTATAGAGCTGACAGTTTAGATATTTCTGAACGGGTTTGGTGTCATGCATGACATCTATATAAACTATATAATTAGAAAACAGCTAATTAATACCAGATTTTTATAAATCTATAATTTATACAATATTTTTATTTTTATACTTAATAGCAGATTTTACGGTGGACGTTAATAGATTAATAATCTTAGATTAATACAACCTAAACACAGAAATCTGTTGATCGATTGATTGATTTTTTAAGGCTTATCAACATTTTGCAGGTTATTTAAAGCCAGAAAATACTTTTACATTGTAAGACTTTTTTGGAGATAATAATAGTTTAGTGATGTACGTCTTACTAATTAACCCATAGCTGGGGAGAGCTTAAATTTATACCTTTCCCAAGGGTATTTGTGCCTAAGTGAATATAACGAACCGAAGCAGAATTGGAACTTGACTCTCCGATAAAAAAATTCCGATACGTTATCCATTGCATATCCAAACTTACCTGATATTTCCAAGTGGTCACCCCTCTAGGTACTGGCCAGGCTCGACGTTGCTTAACTTCTGTGTATGGGAACCGGTGTTTCTATGTAATATGGTCGTTACTATCGCTTTACGGCGAAGCGTCCACAGCTTAGTTTTGTCTGTTAGAAGGCTAGAGAATTGAGGTATAAATTAAACATTGAATATTGATATTTGAACATGTTTGAAATATTATAAGCTTTTGTTTGGAATAACCTATTTCATCATAACACTGTGTTTTTTTTTCGTTAAATTAAAGGTGACATTTATCGTACATTTTTAAATTAAGGTTTCAACAATAACAATAACAAAAATTTCCCGTCATGCCATTTTTCTCTGTCGTCTGCTCTTCAAGATTCAATATGGCGAAATAAGAATTCATGAGAATGTCCCCGAGGACTTGAAATCTATGAATAGAAATGCATTTATTACATTAAAAATTGTCATTTATTCTTTGTCAACACCCGGGGGCCTTTTTAACTTCGGAAGAATTGTGAAGAAAGTCGAATTCGTTTTACTCTTGATATTGCTTTGTATTCTTTAAAATGACATCTTTGGTGGAAAAAAATTATCTGAAGGCTGTTTTTTTTTCAGTCGTGATAAAAGCTAATGTCTATTTTAAACCAAGAAACTTTTATGCCGCCAATGTGTTGTTTTGAGTGTAATTTTGTTAACCGCTCTCATATTACAAGTAGGATTTAACGACAGTGTTTATTTTTAATAGTAGATTTTCGTCTTTTTTAATCTAAAAAAGAATGAAAATGAAAGCGAAGCTGTTCATTTATTTTTGGTATTGAATGAAAATTCAATGTGTTTAAAAACAAAACGCCTTCACATTGTTACTCTCTTGCATTTTTAATCATTTCACACCAAGTAAGGCGATAAAGCCACTAAGATACAAGGGTTACTGAGAGTGAAAAAAAAAATAAACGAGGAAACGTTATTGACAAGAAATCAATATAAAAGATTCAGAGAAAAGATGACTGTTGAAGTTGCATTTAAAGTTTAGAAGATCGTATTTGAGAGGAAAGCAAGGTTTTGTTTGTTTGTTTAACGGCATCCTTATGGATCATTTATTGCTGAAATTTAATTTTCTTGGAAGCTTGAGTAATATTTTACAAAATAATGTACTGCTGGTAATTTTTTAAACTATGAAAATGTATTGCTGGTATTTTTACTATAAAAATGTATTTTTATACTTAGCGTTTTGGCCTCTTTTAACTATTTGCCCATAGCCGGGACCCTAGGTGCTACCACCCAGAGTCAGGGGAGACCTGGGTAAAACAGCAAGTAAGAGGCGCTTCCACGCTCCTCAAAACCTCTCGATCAGAAGCTTTGCTGCTGGATGTAGTTTATCGTCATACCCAGAACGGGAAAGCAAGATGCCGGAAGAGAGTACCGGAAGTGAGAAGTGCGAGAGAAGAAACTATCAGAACAGGACATATGGTTACTTGTAGCAATTTCAACAGTAAAATGATACGATTTAGCTGGCATTCTAATTCTACACTTAAATTCATAAAGTCGAGGCACCAAAACTCATGAGAACAATTACCGTGAAAGTATTTATAGAAAAGGCTCAGGAAAGCTACATTACTGCAGTGGGAAAGTGACTGAAGCCAAGATGCCAGGCTAGGCCTTATAAGATTGCAGATTCCTTAGATTTTGTCAAGAATCTCTAGATGCATAGCAGGAGCACCAATCCAGATTTGGCAGCAATATTCAATGCATGAACTTTCTCTCTCTCTCTCTCTCTCTCTCTCTCTCTCTCTCCCTCTTTGTAGCAATCACACACGTACATAATATATATATATGTATTTATATAGTGCTCTCTCTCTATGTGTATAAGAAGATGTCTCTATACGTTCATAGCATGACAAATTGTGTAAAGCCTTCCCTAGAGCGGTTTGTAACGCATATATTTATCATCTCTCCGTTGTGTCTCTGTCTTTAGGCAGACTGCACTCAGGGGCGGCTCCGTCAAAGGACAGAGTCGCAACTGAGGAAAATTATACTGAGAGGTTCCCAGCCCGGGGGAACAGCTGTCCGAGGCCGCACCCTCTCATTGCATCAGATAGATGGATCGGTGCTCACACTGAGGCCAGCGTATTCTACGGTTGCGGGGGGGTGGCTGTGGGCAATTTTGGTTCGTTGCCCAGGTGTACGCGCTCGGGTCCCAACCTTCAAAATTACCTTGTGTCACAACTCATCTTAGTGGGGAGACAGAGTATATACCTAGTATAACAAAATTGTTAACAGACTTTGGATGTGTAATTATCACTGACTGAGATTAGATCAATGTAATTAATTCTTACCACTAAATTATGCAGGTTGACTTGGAAGGAGATAATATTGTTAAATAAATATTCTTCTTTCAGGTAAATCGGCTGACTATGATTGTAGGATGCAAATGAAATCAAACTCACATTTCTCATTTTATCACCATTAATTACTGATGCAACTTACGTACGTGCATACACATGTACATGTGTATATACAAAAAATCGATATTAGGTTGGAAAGAAAGTCCTGTCGTATTGGAAGATGGAAAAGAGACAAATACTTCTTTGGTCTTAATCCTTATATTTAATCAGAATTATATTTTCCCTCATTATTGATGGCATAATCCTATCTATTAGGCAAATTCCTGATACATCGGGTGTCAAATCCTTCAGGTACCGATGCAAATAAATACTTAATATCAGTTTTAATCTCTTCACAATTAATAAACTATTTTCCCTCAAAACTATTGAAATGATCAGGAAAGACGAAAGTCATATGGAGCAAGGCCAGGAGAGTAAGGAGGATAAGGCAAACCTTCTATATTTAGTGCCATAATTTTTTTTTGAGTGACTCGGGCAATGTGTGGTTTTATATTATGGTGTAAGAGAAACTCCTCTTACGATTAACTAATGATGGGTGCGTTTCTGTAAATTTTTGTGCAATACTTCCAATTGTTGATGATATTTCTCAACTGCTTCATTTTGGTTTAGCATAACATGATAAAAGACGCTCTTCATATCCAAATCAGTGTACTAAAAATAACGTTTGAAATAATGTTTTTTAAAAAAAATGTTTACGCTTCGGATATGAAACTGGGTAGATACGGGTTTTCATCAATAACTGAACGAGGAAGTGTGCATTCCTTAATATAGTAAATAGAACCTCGTTGGCTTGTGACGTTCTCTGTTGCCAAGCAGTCTAAAACATGACGGATCAATGGCGGTTTCTCATACAAATGGCCACACAAGTTTGAACTCTGACGGACTGCACATTTTTCTTTACTATGTTTTCTGGAGTGCTCGGGCTCATAGACATAATACTCACTACTTAATATAAAATAAAAAACGGGGCGTCTATTTCAAACACGGGTATTTTTCTTTTTTTTTTAATCAAAAATTTTTTGAATTTTTTAGAAGGAACCGAAAACCCAATTCTAAACAAAGGATAAACATTTACTCCTGTTCAAAAGACCGTGGAGGAGTGTAAACCGGACGATAGGCGAACCTATCCACTAAAAATTACATTTGAAGATATATATATATATATATATATATATATATATATATATATATATACATTACATATAAATATATAAAATGAAGATATATATATGACATATAAATATATAAAATATCAAATTTGATTTATAAGTTGAACTCAATAAGAGACTAATACAGTGCGACCTCGGTTCTCGAACAGAAAATTCGAGATGAAAATGCCTCGGTTATCGAACAAAATTTCGGTTCTCGAACAACATTGCCGAACCGAGTTAACCCGAACGCAATAATTTCTGAGACGACCTCCGTATTTTATACATTCGTGTATTGTGCTTTTCTTTTCTAATTTTATTGTACAGTGAATTTTTTTTTTGAAAAATAGTTTCGGTTTACGAACAATTCGGGTTACGAACGGCATTCAGGAACGAATTAAATTCGTGAACCGAGGTTCCACTGTCATAATAATAATAATAATAATAATAATAATAATAATAATAATAAAATAGAATAATAAAAGTTATGTGGTATACCGAAGATTCGTTCTTACCGTAGATTTTATTAGGCATAATAAGAAATTAAAAACAATGAAAAAATACAACATCTATAATACTATGATTTAATAAAAGTTATGTCCGGATAGAAGATTCGTTTTTACCGTAGATCTTCTTAGGTGCAATAATTGATTTGCAAAAATAACTAATAATAAAATACAACATTTGTAACAAAATACTTAATGTGACGAACAAAAACTTGTCACTGAAATAAACTCAGCATTTGATTTTTATTTTCGATGACATTTACCATTCCATTTGAAAAAAGAGCAAAAATGTCTTTTCTTTGAAATATATAACTTGTCAGAATCATAATTTTGTTGCTTGGGACCATTTTTAAATAAAACTTATGAATTGTTTATTCGCGCAGTTTACCATAAGTGAGTGAAAGTGCGGAAAGGTGCCACTAAATACATGGTGATTGCCACATTACTCAGATGAGAGGCATCCCTTCACCCCACGTATCACATGTGATGACTCCCGTCTCGTTTTTGGCTTCGATGACCCCTAAGATGACTCTTGAAACCAGAATTCGATTTCGTAGCTATCAGAAATATTTGAGAGATAAACTCTGTATCCTTGTTTCGGTTGATTGAATCTGCATGGCCGATAAACTCACCTGCCGTACCACAGTGTTCCTCCTCAGTCTAGACGCTGATCTGAAAACCTTGTTGCAAAAAACACACGTATTGTTGGTGGGACGATAGCACAGGTTGACATAAATGGCTTACTTCTGGTTGCTATGATGAACTTTCAGATGGCTTATGTCACCTTCGATTAACCACAGTATACACTAACACATTTCCAAGACTGCATATTAGTGATTCTTCAGAGATAACGTATGATCTGTGCATGCTATGCACACACACACACACACACACACACACACACACACACACACACACACACACACTCTATATATATATATTGTGTATTTAGGCAGCAAATTCTCTTTTCGACATGTCTGATTGAATAAATTAAATAATATACATACATATATATATATATATATATATATATATATATATATAT